CAAAAAATGATCCAAACGCACCACCCCTCAAACAAGCCCCGAGCAACATACCAAGGCGGCACCAACTTCCCAGACCAGTCCTTGAGCTGGAGGCATAAACGCATAACCCCTCCCTGTTTCCCTGGATGGGACAGGTGGAAGCGTCCAGAAACACGGAGGGGAGAGTGACATCACCTGCCGCGGCCCCTCCCCTGAGCGGCTGGAGACCCACCCCCCTTGCCACAACTGGCCAATGAGAGTCACTCTTGCCTGGATTGACAGGCGTTTAGAAAGCCTCACAGTGGGCAGGGCTCAGAGCGGAGGAGGGCGGGGCTTACACAGCTTACACTTCCACCAAGGCCTTGCTTGTCATCCAGCCGGATGAGCGAGACTAGGAGAGGAGCTTTCCGGAGAATTGGCCTGGTAACTCCACCCCCCTGCCTTCGGTCACTACCAACCCGCACCTCCTCCCCATCCTCCCTCACCTTGTTTGCCACGCGAGTTGGGGGGAGGGGGGGAGGGGGGAGCGACGGAGAGTGCTCCTGACTCCCCTTGGTTAGACGGGGGAGATTGAGGGAGGAAGGAGTGACGACGGCTCCATGACAGACTCCTCGTCCCCCAGCTCGCTCCCTCCTTCCATCACCTTGGCTCCCCTCCTGCTTCCAGCCTCCCCCTCCTCCCTCCTGCTGCCTACCTTCCCCTTCCTCCCCCTCCACCTCCCCATTGGCTCTAAAGCCACGCCTTCGCGGTCACCCTTATTTGGGGCGGGGGGCCGCTCTGGCGCTCCGGGACCCGCTGCTGAAGCAATCATCAGACAGTTGCAGCTCCTCCCGTCTGCTGGCATCGTCCTCCTCCCCTCTCCCCACTCTGCTCCTCCCCCACCGGTGGCGGTGGCCGACAGCCACGCTATCTTTTCCAAATGGAGTCCAAGGCTGTTGGGGGTGGGGACGACCGTGGGGGACGGAGCGGCGGGGCCAGCCCGGAGGAAAGGGGGGGAGGGCCGTCCAGCAGCGTTGGGAGGTCAGGATCTGGCGTCGGGCTGTTGGATCTGACCAGCCCCGGGTCGGCAATCAGCCGCTGGAGCTGAGCGGCGAGCTTGGGGGTCCGCGACTGGATCTCGCTAATCGGGCTACAGCTGCTTAACAAAGACAGTCACTCTCTTGGGGGAGGAAGGCCGAGTCCGCCTGGATCCAGGCCGGAGATCACCAGTAGGGAGGCGCCAGGTATATCAAAACTGACTTTTGTTATAAATACTGCAGTACTACATGACCTGGGAGAGCCACGTACTGTGGTGCTGCTGTGTAGGTGTGTGCACGTATTATAACAGAATTCTGTTGGTTTGGTTGTTCCAGATGGCTTGGGACAATGGGAGAGGGGAGTACAATCGTTTAGGGTTTTTATCTCTGGTAAACATTTCCTCGTTATCGCTAGAGAAGATGATTTGTCCTTCCTAACAGCAAACTAAACACGACCTTTCTTTGCAGATGGGACTAACTACTAAATGTTCTGGAAATTTACTATCCCGTCCGTCTTTTTTGGTAATATCGCGGAGATTTAGCTGTATCCCTACAGCCCTAGCAGAAACAGATCAGAATTTAGCAATCAGAATCTAGGTTTATTGCCTTTTTAGTACGTTTTTACACATATGAGGGAATTTGTCTTGGTGCATAAAAAATACAAATTCACACAAAAATATGCAAAATCACACAAGAATAGAGTACTTTTTAAAATCTAAATAAATAAAGATAAGAAAGATAAGAAACTGTACAGAAAATAGGGGGAGTGCATTAATGTAATGCATATATACAGGGTGGGTATAAGATCAGCTGTCAGATGGTGCGTTCTGGGCCTTGTTAATGGGAGGCCAGCTGCAGACTGGAAGAAACTGTTCTATGTGGTGTTAGGGTTCTTGTCCTGATGGTCCGCAGCCTCCTAGCAAGAGGGGATAGTTGTTTCACAAGAGTTTGTGTCCGGCGATGGGGAGGGCGCTTTCACCATACATCTTTTCCTTGGATGTTCAGCTCCCACTTAAGGTCCTCGAATGATAGTACCCAGTAAACTTGGGGATCACACAGGATGATTTGGGGCGGCTGGGCTGGGGCTACTTTCTGAAGTCCACACCATCCCCACTGTTTTCAGAGCGTTTAGCCTCCAGGTTGTCTGGGCTGCCACCAGGTCACGAGATGGTCAATCTCCCATCTGGGAGGGAGGTGTCATCCATGAACTTTCAGGAGGCCTGACGGGACTGGTGAACTGGGAGGCGCAGCTGGTTTGTGTACAGGAGAAGAGCCAGAGGGAGAAAGCAACGCACCTTGGGGGGAGATCGTGAGCTGGCGGGAGAGCTTGTCCTGTAACAGAGCTGTGGCTTGATGGTGTTGAAAGCCAGAGCTGGAAGTTCCACAAACATAATCCTGGCATAGGGTTGGAAATTGTTATTTAAAGATTTGATTTATTATTTAAATGTAAACTTGAAGCGTCTGAGGAAGAGCGGGTCGTCCACTAATCGGAAGGTTGTTGGTTCGATCCCAGGCTCCTCCCGCCACATGTTGAAGTGTCCTTGAGCAAGATACTGAACCCCGATGCTTTGCATCTGGGTGTGAATGTGTATGAATGCGTTAGTGTCTGTTCGATGGACTTCTGCCATCGCTGAGTGAATGTGTGTCAAAGGGTGAATGTGGCACATAGTGTAAAAGCACTTTGAGTGGTCGGAAGACTATAAAGGCGCTATACAAGTACAGGTACATTTACCATTTACCATGAAGAGCTGAACACAAGCTATATTCACAGAGCCTTCATTCTCGGATAAACAGCCTCGCCCTGCATTAAAAAAGTTAAAACAACCAAAGAGCTAAAGGAACAATGAGAAGAAAACACTGCAAAAAGGAGCCTATTAAGTATGTATGATTGTTAAAAATAATCAAAATACAGATAATTTTATAAAAATATCAGGGAAACTCATCTCTAATCAATATTCACAGGAAATAATCTGCTCAAAATGAATCAAAATTGCCTGTTTTACATAAACGCCATAAAACATCAGTCAGTCAACATCAGTTTACTCAATGATAGTAAAAGGTGTCCCTTAAGGAAACAAATTGGGAACCATTGCTCTATAAGGCAGCTGTCTGTTAAAGTCAGTCCAGTGACTTCTTCACCCGCCTATTGAAAAATCATCATTCAGAATACACACAGCCATTCATCAGTGGGTTATTAAGCATCTGAATGGGACATAAATGCAGGTAAGGGCAAAGAAATAAACAAAATGTTGAGATATAGGCCCGCTGTGTATGTTTTTAAAGTTTTCTTACGCCCCTTAAAATCAAGAAGGCCTCGCAACCCCGCGTGAACCTTTGGCAATCCCTAGTGGGTCCCTCAAGTTGGGCTTTATGTTGTTAAGATTTAGGTTTTTTTAGACAGCTGGGTCATATTGTTTACTGATAATAAATGTCTATTGATAGGTTTGATTTTAAGGGGTTGAAATAGAACATATGACAAATTAATGCAGGAATTCATATAGGCAAAGAAACAGTTGCCTATACTAATTCCTGCATTCATTTGTTGTTATTTTTACTCATGTAGATCACAAACAAATGCAGGCATACTACTGTTAAGCATAATTTATTATTTCTGTTGGAATTGTACAGTAAAGGTATGCAATTATAAAGCATTAAATACATTGTCACATAGGCTGCGAGCCGTACATTTTGTCAAATTCTCCACAGGCACATTTGAACTGAACATTTCAACTCAAGGAGGGCTTGTTAAATCACTGACTGAGTAACAGCCTCAGTAAAACAAATGGATCACTGTATAACAGTCGTATGTCCTCTTCTTCCTGGTATAACTAGAACAAAGAGGATGATGGGAGGGGATGTTGTATTTAATCATTAATGACTACCGACTATATTTAGTGTGTTAAGGAAAAGCCACACAGATTTTTTTCTCTTAGAGGTGGAGACAAAAAATCTGCTGTGTAAACAGTGAACACATGTGACTGGACATGACAAAATCAACATGGTTGATTTTTTATTTATAATTTTTTGGTATAATTTTCATGGTATTTATTTATCCTCAATTGGTAGACAAAGATGATTTTCTCTTAAAAACACAAAAATAAGTAACATTCATTTGTTGGACACTGGATCAAAGCACATATTATTGAAACTGACGTTCTGGTACCAAGCATTTGATATAACTCCTTATAGTATAGTATTACTAGATACAGCCATTTCTGTATCACACTATATAATGTATAGTATTGTATCCCATAGGAATACATTATAAAATGTCTGTACATTGCCAACACTGGACCAAGAAAAAAAGTAATTTTCCTTAATGAATCTTTATTGTAACAGACCACAAAATGTGAGTATCAAAAACGATGATGATCTGAAATTCCTAACTTATTGTTCTAGAGCAGTTTTCCTGTAAAATTAAAAAGCAACCCCTAGTGACTACAGACTAAAACTTGTGCTGCAGCCTCATACGTTGACCAATTTGAAAGCTTTCAATGGATTTGTGCTTAGCTCAGCTAGTAAGCACTGTAAATAAAATTATAAAATTCCACTTGAACATGAATGGGTTATTTAGAGCTGTACATGGCATCAGAGCAGAGACACTGGAAGACTGAATGAGACATTATAAAACCTTATTCATTCAGAAATGAGATGTAGGGGAGCTGTATTCATTTATTTTTCATGATATAACTGTCACTGCATCCTCTAAAACAATTAATTGGTTTGAGTGTCCATGGCCTTGAATCTTTAGGCCAAAATAAGGGCAACTGTGCTGACTAGTTAGGTGTGGATAGCGAGTTGCTATTTTCAGAGTTGAGTTGTATTGATTGTTTGGCTTTGTGTTGAGAAGTTGTATAGTCATTATTATAGCCAGTTTTTTGTCGTATAATCGTGTAGCCTATGAATTATTGAGTATATGTGAATTATAATTGCTTTATTAATTACCTTTGATTACCTTTGACTGGGAGGCTTAAAGTCCCCTCCAGACACAAACCAGTGTTTCTTCTGGTTCCTACAGTGTGCTGTTTGAAT